GAGAAACTCCCTAAAATTGTTTGACTTTGGTTGGTTTACTTTATTATCCATAAAGTAATATACAAAACGATCTTATTTAGAAGAACAGGTACAATTGGGATTAACTCTGGTTACTTCTTTTAACAATAGAAGAATAGGTGAAGTAATTGCAGTGTAAAATGTATTATTTTTACATTCTATATGTACCAGGACTGTATAAATATTGTAGATATTCAAGAAAAAGACCGCTGATCTATAGCACAATGGCTTTCGAATGACTTCTCAATTTACTGTAAATGTAAAAAAACATACCGAGCGGCATGGCCTAGAGGTCTAGACAATTGCTTAGCCGGTTCGATTCCGGGTCTGTCTGCCTTGGTCCAAGTTTTTCTGTGGTTTCTTTCACTCTCTTCTGTCTTCATTTCGTCCGTCTCATCTTTCTCACCCGAACCACCACCCACACATTCCCACGATTCCTGAAAGCAGGCTGAAGAGGGCCTTCCGCCCTACCTTCCGGCATACTCCGAAATGAATGAATGAATGAAACACCCAAAAGTTTAGTTTTTACCAGAAGTTTCGACGGTAACGTCATCATCATCATAAGGTCATCAGTCCTAAGACTTGACGGTAACGTATTAATACAATAATTTCAGGATTTCTCCACCAAAATTACGTGGGAGCTTTTTTAAGTTTGCGGAATGGGCAAGTGTTAAAGTCGTATTATACTAGAGTTAGCGCAAGATGGGTGCCGAGAATGTTAACTGTTCTAGCGCGTTTTTGGACCTCTGTAGTAAAGAGACAGATGGAATAATGACTCGGAATTGCTACTGGGGACGAAACTTGGGTTCATTATTATGAACCTGAGTTCAAAAAGGACTCTATGCAGTCGCACAAAAAAGGTACACCACCACCCAAGAAGTTTAAGGTGTCACAGTCGGTTAGGAAAATCATGGCGACACTCTTTTGGAACTCAGATAAAGGTGTCTCCATAACCGGCGAATACTATGCTTTATTCCCAGAGCGGTTAAAGGAAGCTGTCAAAGAAAAAAGAAGAGGAAAATTGACCAAACGTGTCCTTCTTCTGCACGACAACGTGCCTGTTCACAAGAGCCGTGCTGCGATGGCTGCCCTGCAGGAGGTGGTCTTCGAAATTTTGCCTCAAACAAAATTTTTAATTTTTTTTTCTAACTCTCACCCCCTCAAATGTTTCTATTTGATGTAAAAAAAAAATCCTCGCCAAACATGAGCCCTTTAGCTCAAATCTAAGGGGTCGCTATTTTTATTTTAGTTTCCCATTTAATTAACATAGGAAAAATTCTTTTTTGTTTTAAATTGAATTTACACATAATTTACGCAATTTTTTCCAAAAAACCGTTTCATATTNTGCATAATCCTCAAAATTGGTAATCAAACTATTAGTCAGTATTGTATTTTTATATATTACGAATTTCAAAAATGGTTCTCAGTACGTAGTGTAGGTGGCAGCACACATGATAATAATAAGATAAATGAATTAATCGTATGATTACAAGTAATCATGGATTATAATTTTGTTCCATATTAGTTTATATTAATTATCCAACAAAAAAATTGAACATGTTCATTCTAGTTGATAGTTTTTTATTAATGATAATTAGAGCACATTATAGCAGTTAAGAAAAATACGCCTTTCCGATACGTTATTAATTTGATTTATTCTGCAGTGGCAAGTGTTGTTTTGGTACAGTTTGGGAATTTGTAAAGATAATCATACTTTGTCTTAGAGTTTTGTAAAGCTCAAAGACTCAACTTTGCGTAAATTATGTGTAAATTCAATTTAAAACAAAAAAGAATTTTTCCTATGTTAATTAAATGGGAAACTAAAATAAAAATAGCAACCCCTAAGATTTGAGCTATAGGGCTCATGTTTGGCGAGGATTTTTTTACACCGAATAGAAACATTTGAGGGGGTAAAAGTAAAATTTTGTTTGAAGCACCCTACTCCCCACCATACACTCCTTATTACCTATTCCCAAACTTATAAAAATAAGTCTTCGTGGCAAGAAATTTTCAAACGACGAAGAAGTGAAGGATGCAGTTTCGGCGTATTTTTTAGACAAATACAAAACATTTTTTTTTTTTGAAAGGAATACGTAAGTTAAGTGAAATATCAGAAAAATGTATAAGGGCAGCAGGTGAATATATTGAAAAGGAAAAATTTATTTCCACTTCTTACCCCCTCCCCCATTCCGCGAACTTAAAAACGTTTCATCGTAAGTAAATTGATATAAATAAAGTATGAATTGCTTTATTTTCCTTTCACATTTTGAAAAGTAGACTTTGGGTTTTGATTGGCAGACATGTTCTAACTTAATTTCAAACTAGAGCAATATTGTCAGTCATAATCTAACCTTCAAGAAATCTATAGCCTTAAAAAACTATTCGTGGTTATGACAGCTTGTTTAATTAAAAACCTCAAGTCACCTCACAATGCAATAGAAATTGTGTCAATTTCAGTACCTATTTACGTACTGGCGTTTAATTAAATCTCTAGGCTTTTGATTACAGAACGGTTTTAATTATTATCCTTGGAGGTATACAGAGTGTACGAAGTATACGCCAAAAATTCATGGGGTAATTCTTGAGTTATTGTTATGAAGAGAAGTTCCTACAAACATTTGTCAAAAAATGCTTCCCAATGGAGCTAGGCCTCTTCAAGTGAGTCACACTGGACATGATGTTTCCTCAATATTTTGGAAACCGTTGGTACTGAAATTCTGCGTAGGTATATTGCATAAACTTTTGACACTAAATCGGTTTCTCTAAGAAATTCAATGAATTCAAATTTTAACAAGATCTACCACACGCTTATTAAGTTTCTCAACAACGTGCATCGATGTAGACACTTGCAATTTTCTTCAAAACGATTAGCCATATCGATATGAACCAAGAGTGCATGTCTTATTTTACGTAAAAAGCGTTCAGATATATTATTCTAAAATCAATATGGGAAAACAAAATAACATTAAAAATGGAGTTATCTTAACCCTTTACCCCTTTTGTAAACGCTTTTGATTAAATTTTGATTTCCGAACTCAGATTCAGATTCAGTGTCAAAAATTTATGCAGCATACCAAATATCAGAATTCCATTATAAAGAGTTTAGAAAATATTGAGGAAAGTCGTGTTTAGGGTGACTCATTTGAAGGAGTGCACGTCTCTGACAAATGTTTATAGGAATCTTTATTCATAAAAATACCTCAGGGATTACACTCCTTCAATTTTTGCCGCATTTTTAGAAAACACCCTGAATATTACAAAAACAAGTAGAACTCTCTAGCATTAAGTTTATGACGAATAAATAATAATAATCGTATTGCATAGGTCAATTACCTTTTAGGATCACCTTAGAATTAATACTTTTATTTGATACAGAAGATTAAGAAATTGTAAGTTTTTTAAATTGTTTGACATAACAACATAATAATAGTTGACTCGGTGCCCGAGTCAAAGTCGTAATGATACGGATCCTTCAGGAGGTATATGAATACGTGCATACAGTGGAAGCAGCATTAAGCTGATAAGAAAAATTACGTAGAGGAAAAACGTTTTCCTTGAAAATATCCCCAAGGAAAATGCTTGAATTTAGCACATATATATATTATTACAGAGAATCTTTAGATTTAAATTTGCCTGAAGCTTTATAATATTATAACGCTTCACAGAGTGGGTACTTACTAAGGATGTGAAGGCGAATGGGAAAGGAACCAGAAAATTAGAAATACTTTATAAATCCAGCATAACAGTGTATGGGAAAAATATCGAAAAGAGCACATTCTGATTGACTGGTTACTCTCACATTTAACTTTAATTTGAATTTGTGGTCTCATCGTAATAAAGATGGCATATGGTGTTTTAATTGCTGTAAGTATGACGACAGTAATATTAATTTATTATTTAGGGATTCTTTTCGTATTAGTTGTCTTCGCCAAATATTTTCAAGAGATTACAGTCCTGCATTCATCATAAAAGGTAGACAACAAAACAAAAACGAAAAGTCGCAATAACAAAACTGATATCAGATAATAATAATAACAATAAACATTGGATAAATCCCGAAGATGTCTCCTGTAACTAAGGACGAAACGTCAGCATACAATTAACTTGCCCCTTTGCAAATCTAGAATCCTGATTGTAGATCAGTGATGTAAGACGAAGTCTATAGAGCAAGGCTGTCCAACCAAAGGCTCGCGGGCCAGGCAGTTTCTAAATTCCCGCCAATCTAAAAGAGAAGCCTAATACATATCGTCATCATAAGCTATAACCAAAACCTTTTTGAAGAAGAAATATTTTCAGTCACAAACTTCTTCAGAAGAATTTGGAGATGATTTCTGAAAATTATTAAAACAAAAACAATGACAGAAATCATGTCGATTATTATACTAATGACTTGGATTTAGATTTTTATTACATAAAATTTAATTTTCTATTTGGCAGATAGATTGATGCTATTTATTTTATTGCATAAAAGTAAACTTTAAAAAGCTTAAGAACAAAAATAGGAACAGGTCGAGTTTCTGCGTTTGGTGGCGAGTCCTTTATAATATATGGTGGATGACGTCTTAAGTGCCTTCCATAGCCTGATCAGCGGCTGAATGATATGGAATGCGCTTCAGATGCCATAACGAAACGTTTACATTTTAAATGAAGGACACAACAACAATATCCACAAGATGTGTAGGAACTTAATATGCTTCACTTTATGCTGACTGTTATTATAGTTTCATCATATAAGAATATTCATACTATTTGACTATTAATAACAATTATATTTCCCATTTAGATATCTAATTCGCCACGAAAATGAATATGTAGGTCGTTTTTACTGTCAGTCCCCTCTGCGGGTTTATCCATTCATTCATTATAATATAAGTACGTATATTTAAGCCTTTAAGCCAAAATGCGCTCTTTCAGATTATCCCCTTTTCAAATCATATTAGGTAAATACACACACACACGCGCCCTGATATTGCTTGACTTACCGTAGAGTTCCATTCCGTTCTTTTGTTTGACATGGCTGGTGTAGACGTGGCTGTTCCTCGCCAAGACTTTCCAAAGTTTCATTTTCGCGCTGTTTACTTCGGTTTTAATTTTAACTTCAATTTAATGCCGCAGTTCGACGGTTCGTGAGGTCGGGTCGACGCGATCGCGCGTAGAAATTTTAAAAACGAATTCTTGCACCGGCACGTTAAAATAACCACACCGGCAGAAGTTCTTTGTTAGGGAAAATGTCCAGGATAGTCGCGACATTGTTGCATTTTCTTTATCTACTACGTCAATCTCGCTTATTTTCACTATAAAGGAACACTACCCTACTGTTATAGCGAAATATTAAAACAATTTACCCTTTCTAATTTTTTGATCTGTTGTGTTGTTATTCAATTATCCAAAATTGAAAATTAAAGTAATTAATCAATATGGGCAGGTCTCGCCTGTTGTCGCTTCTAACAATTGAAACATAAGCCGTACCCTCTTCAGCATACAACAAAGTAACTAGGTGCGTTCTATACGTTTATCATTTCTGCAACTTGAGAAAATAAATAAAGATGCATCTATTAAGTGACAAAATGTAGCGATAAATTTAAAATAATACTGCCAATAACTTAGTACTAAAATTATTAAAAAATACTTTCCATTTTTATTTGCCAATTCTTATGGAACCAACTGGACTTAGCAGTAAAGTAAGCAACTACCTATTCTAGTATTTTAAAAATAATCCTTTTACCTATTATACTTTGTGTCGATATTTAGAAAATAATGAGATTTAATTGTTTAGTTTCTTTTTTCAAAACGATTTTTTAATTTTAATATTGAGAATAAAGAAAAATATTTTTGCTAATTAAGCAAAGTTATAACTATCTATTTATATAATGATCGGTTTACTTGCGAGTGTCAAACATTGTATTGTACCTGATCTTGCGCTTTTTGAAAGTAATAACAATGAAAATTTAGCCTTTAATGATATACATTGTGATGGTAACTGGCGACAACTTGCAACAACAATGTAGGATAGTACTACTACTACTACTACTACTACCACCACTTATCTAGTAGAATAGATAAGTAGTCTACGATGAACAAACACAACAGCACATTGAAACTTTCAGTAAGTTATAATAAAGTGGTGAAATCGCACATGTGAGACGCCCACGTCGTCGTCGAGATGACTGTTTCGGGCCGAAAACACGAACGAACGCTACGGGACACAGAGATAGACAGAGAGATATGTCGAAAAGACATCACGAACGAGATGATGCGCCTCTTTACCAGGGGGACGGACCACGTGTTGCGTGAAATACGTCGCGACCAACGCGACCGACGCGGCTGTGAAAGAGGGTGACAAACTGGAGATGATAAGATACCGAGCACGAAGGAATCTACCGAGTGATAACACTATTACGAACCTGTCTCAGTAAAGTTGGTCCAACCAATGACAATATTAGAATATTACCCTTTTTTTTTTGAAGCCACTAGTGCCATAGAAACCTTTTTTTTTAAAGCTTTTGAAGTTTGTAATAAAATAACTAACTTTCGACATACAAAACTAAATTTTAAGAAAGTCCGATCGATATTTGATTTACGGTGAAAAGTTCATAAAATTTATAGCTTTTTCATTGATCGAATAAAAAATAATTCGAAGTGGTCTGTATTCTGTTGAAACTGCCAGACGCGGATCGCGATTTCGATCTTTTTGGATCTCATCAGCGCGTCGCAGGCAGCTCCGACAGAACACAGAC